CCTGATATGATTTCTAATGGATGGGGGACACTTGGGACTTTTATCTGACAAAGTATCAAAGTGGCGTCTCGTGTGGAAGTATGAAAGCGAAGCTTCCGAAAACTAGTTTTCTCTTTTTTGAAGCCTTAGAAACGGCCAAATAGGTCGATATTGGTATCAAATGAAAGCTCTCGACGAGAGCTTTCGATCGCGCTATCGCACGACTCTGTAGCTATAGCCGTTCTCGAGATAGAAGGGGTTGAAGAAAAAACTTCTCCGGGCATTTATTCCGTCCAGGAGTACTAATCAGATCCGGGACCATGCGGAAAATATTCCTCTCGAAATTACCTTTCGATTGAGACCCCACTCGATAAGATCGGTTTCCTAAGTCTGAATTTGCCCAGACCCTTTTACTCATTTTCTTGAGCAATTCAAGCTCCTGATTCTGAATCTGGAGCCGAGGAGCAGGCTCGAGCATTACGGGGCGGGAAAGATAATCAGGAAGCTTGGTGTTTTTTCCTGACGGTCTTTGTTTGAATAGAATGATAAGTGGACTGCACCTTAGCAACGGCATGAGCCTTCCTTATAGACACTATATCAGGAAGTCTGGATAGGTTTCGGAGTAGTCAGCTTTCTTGACGTTCTTCGAAACTTTTGGTTGGTATACTGGGTGGTCAAATCATAGAAAAATTCAGAGAGAAAGGAATTACACGTCAGCTGCTAGTGTGGAAGTTCTTGATTTATCGACTCCGCAGCCGCTTGAGTCATTTGGATTGAATTCTTGCCAGGAGAAAGTGAAAGTGAAGCAGTCGGAAAATTTAGCGGAGCGAGGGCTTCGCCATGAAGTCACCTCCAGTCGATGACTCAGCGAGCCGGAAACGCGCACAGCGAGAATCTTCAGCGTAATTCTGCGGAGAAGACACACGGGCCTTAACTCGTCACTCGCACGAACACAATCACGCGCATGCATGCGTAACACTCTGTTGGAACAGAAACAGCTTAACGTGTCCATCCGAAAGGCCATGTATGATTGAGTTGTAGGTGTTCCGAAACGATTCGAGGTCTCCGAGATATCTTTGTCTCCAAATCCGCGCGGGAGATGTTGCCTCCGAATCAGGGTCTCATTTCATCGCCAGTCCATCATTAGGTCCAATGTCATAAAGAAGGAGCCCGCGAAGCCAGCACTCAACGAACCGTATAATGTTCTTTCCAGCCGTGGACCTCGCACAGGACTGCGTCCAGGATGCTTTTGTGATTGCGGTGGAACAACAAGCAAGGGATCGGCTGGAGCGGCTGACAGCTCTGAACAAAATCACTCCGATTGATATGACGAAGCTCTCCCAGGTTCGTAGCCGACCTCGAGTCGGGGACAGAGGAGCTGTCGTCAGACAAGGCAAAATCGGAACACATTAGAATGCCATTAGACGCGGGAACTCGACCCGGAGGCACAGATTGAAAAAAAGCGGCTACGGGAATTTCGAATCATGTAAGCCCCGGATCCGTCACAAGCCCTTCGTTTTCCAGGAGTTAGATCAACAGTGCGAGCTCCAGAGTCCAGGTGGGCAGCAAGATCCGATTTACATCACATCCGTTAAAACCTCGCAACTGCACGAAGTGGCGTGCAAATCGCCCAAGTCACCGCTGCAATCGCAGGGCAATCTTACAACAACACCTCGCACTCCGCACCGGGAATCCCAAGCCGGCTACGGGTCGGGCCACTTTGATTTCAGCATAAAAAACACCTCCGCACAACAATCGGTTCAAGGTACGAGCCTTTTGACGCTCCCTCGCAATCCACATTCCCCACCTTCACCCAAGGCCGGTTCCTCAAGCAAGATCGCAGACAGTCAGCTCGTGGGAAAATTCCTTAGAAATCTCGTGGGTAGTCCGAGCTGTGACCGAGCTCGAAACAGAAATGAAGGATTCCTTGACGGAGTCGGGACATTGTTATGCAGCCTAATTAGGCTGCTCTTTGTATGAGTCTGGCTGGCTATGTGTATGTGTGGTAAGCTAGAATGACACATCGCTGACTGCGCATGCGCCGTCAAGCTCTCCTGGAGGGCATGAGAAGGCATCCAGGTGGTGTTGGTGGCGGTAACGATAGCGCGCAGCCTAAGCTGACGAGCATCGCGAAAACGTTCGACACAGCATCCTCCATTAGTTTGGCGGCATCGAGCGCCCGCTCCTCCGTGTTTCCGTTTTGTCTGTTCGGTCTCGACCACCACCGGGATCGATGTCGACCGAGAGGATGGACTAAAATCTCGGAGTCCGATTTCACAGGGATCCCTTCGATAACGTCGTCCCCTCGAACAGGCCGAAGGAGCCTAACGCCCTCTGAGAAGAGGGTTTCATTGCCACAGAACACTTGCACCTCTACTCAGGATCTCCAGGAGAATACGGATCCTGCATTGAATAAACAAAGGTACTTGAAATCATAACGGCGGCTCCCGTCGCCGAATGTTCAGCTCCGATTTTCCAGCAGAATCTGAGTGCCTTTTCGAGAGGTCTCCGGTCGAGTCTCGGTTTCTCTGATCAGCTTCCCCGCTTGCAGGAGCCGAACATCGAACAGGGGTAATTCAGGGAATTGGGAGTCGCTCGGTCGAAGTGCTTCCACCCGAAGCGAAGCCGGCTACGGGGCGCCAACCTACGGTCTCGGGGGATATGGAACACAGGCCAGTCTGAAAAGCGACCCCGGGGAAAAAACGCAGACACCCATATCGTCCCGCTGTACATCTCAGCTCAATATGGCGGACACTCAAGTCCAAGCGCCGTCTCTACAGTCGCAAAGTGAGCTTCTTAGAGCCGATGATCGCGTCGATCCGGAAACGCTCTCCGAACTGGAGAAGAAACAACATCGGAGCGGATGACGAGTCGATAACCGATCTCTTTCCGTTTGCTTAGGTCTGTCTCGTTGTTCTCTGAGAGACTCGAAAAGGCTACAGGCATTAGAACAGAACCCACCGGCTAGAGGAGTTGTAAATTCTGCATTTGAGAAAGACGGATCTGTCATCCAGAAACCAATTTCTCTCAGCGTACCTGATCTACTGAATGTGACGTATGGTGAGTTCTAAGCCCGAGCTGGAAGGGAAATTCCTAACTCTTCGAGGCCCCCCATGAAATTGCGGAGTAAAACATAATCTGTCAACACGAGAGATTTCGTCCCGTCGACACAAAGACCAGAGAAAGTCTCGTGGAGCAGATTGTACATTTCCTTCGTAAAGAATCACGTGTCGTCCGTGCTGTCGTATAGCGCCGATGCCTTCTTGACCATTCCATTGTGTTGTGGTGTGGGAGCTACCGCGCGTTTCTCGTCTGTTGCAAACCGTCGAAAAGAAAATGCTGAAATTTTGCGAACTAACTCGGGGCCGACTGACTGAGGATCGTCGGAAGTCGATCCAGAATAAAAGGATTCCGTGGTCGAAAGTTCTGACCACAATCCTGAAGTCGTCTGAGCAGCGGAGTGGTGTCGACACGCTCTTGCTGACTGATCCCTCCGACAGTAGCTTCACTCTGAGTGATATTTCATCGTGCGAATCTCAGATCAGACCGGGTTGGTTTAGTGTACACCCTTCCTCTTTGGGTTGCAACGTAAGAATTGCGCGACTCTGTTGTTTTCGTGCCGGATGTCACTACGTTCTATTCGAATCGACACCGCTTCCGACGGTGAATCAGAATGGGTGACGGTGCGAGGCCCGATCCGTTGCAGATATGTTTCGAGCGCTGTCCTTGTGATCTGTGACCACCAGATGAATTCGCTTCCGTTCTGCTCTACCCGGCCTGTTCCGCCTGAGGCTACGCAAGATCCGATCGTATTTTCTAGACTTTTTAAAGAAGGGATGCAATAACTCTCTGACAGAGTTAAGATTCCCGCGTGTCCTCGGGCGTAATATCATCCTATTCATTCGAACACGCGGTGAAGCGAGCGATTGAATATTATAAGGGACATTTCCCGGAATATTCGTCTTCCTGGAGACACTCAATTCAGAGCTTGTTCGAGTCAGCGCTCTTCGCTGTTTTGAGCGAAACCCCGGTGCGTCCATCGAGCTACGAAACGATTTTCTTCATTTTGCAGATGCCAATACACTTATGGAAGCAGCGAGGAGGATCGAGACCGCGGCTGCCTCAGAACCAGCCATACCGACGGGTGGAGTACAAGATCTGCAACGGCTGCAACAGCTGCTAGGAGACGACCAGTTCGCGAGGTGCCTCCACATAGCTGCCCTGGTGAAGAATATTTGGTGCTCACAGAATCCACCACCTATTCCGCTAAGGTATGTAGAAAGTATTGCAAAGTTGATTTCCCATGTTCCCCGGCTCCGATCACCTTGTATTTCGGGAAGGCGCTCCGTCAGTCGAGTTATCGGTCAGCTGGGTTCTTGCAGTCGTAGACTCTGGTGTGGTACCAATTTTTCTTTTCTTTTCGTTCCAAAGGTGCGATGCGCAGGAACTAAGCGGAGAAGTCGCTCTCGTGGTTCAGAATTTTCCCTTGGTGCCCGAAGCCAATGAACTGCTCGCGATTTTGGGCCGTTTCGACCTCGACGGATTATTACAAAGTCACGACGAAATCGCAAGACTATGCGGCGTTTACGAGCCCGTCGTGCCCGTCATCCTCCCTCATCAACATTCGGTACGTTCTCCCGCGGCGTGACAGGAGAACCTCCGGAAATTGCGGGATCCGCATGCCGTTCTTCTCTCGTGGATTTTATCTCTCGATGAAATTGATCGCGTATATACCCCCTATGACGTCCATGTCTCGATCCAGATGTCCACGGATGATATCATCCCGGCCCCGGTGGAAGACCACGTGTTCTATCAGCCCCCACCTCCGCACCAGATGCTTCAATGTACTTACGATCAGATGAATGACGGTGCGCTACTTCATCAGACGGATAATGTGAAACTCGTGAGCATTGACAAAACGACTGAACCTCTTGGTGCGACGGTGCGAAACGAGGGAGAAAGCGTCATCATTGGTCGGATCGTGAAGGGAGGGGCCGCCGAAAAAAGCGGAGTGCTGTACGAAGGAGACGAAATTCTCGAAGTTAACGGCATCGAAATGCGTGGAAAATCCGTCAATCAAGTATGTGACATCCTCGCCAACATGACTGGCACGCTCACGTTCTTGATTGTGCCAAGCAGGCAGTACGTCGAGGAGAAACCCCCTGCACCTCAGCCGGTGAGACTCTGGTAGTGCGTCAACGCCGCAGTAGGTTCTCCGGCGAGCTTTGAGACCGTCGTTTTGGGACCACGCACGGAAAAAAATTAATCCGAAGATTTCTCGCAGGTCATGCATGTAAAAGCGCACTTCGACTACGATCCCGAAGACGACATGTACATCCCATGCCGGGAGCTGGGCATCTGCTTCCAGAAGGGCGATATCCTGCATGTTATCAATCGTCAAGACTGCAATTGGTGGCAAGCCTACCGCGACGGAGATGATGAGCAGAGTTTGGCTGGTCTCATTCCGTCCAAGAGCTTCCAACAGCAGAGGGAAGCTCTCAAGCAAACGATTGTGGAGAATGAAAAAAGCATTTCGACACCGGCGAACAAGAAGAATCGTCTCCTGTGTGCAACCAGTGCCAAAAATAGGAACACCAAGAACAAAAAGAAAGCCAAAGACAAGTCTCCCTCCGAATCAGTAGAACCCGATCAATTAGATCCAGACGTGAGTTCGCCCCCGAAATCGACAGGATCCATATGACGCATATGCAGGATCTACGTAACGAATAATGAACAGCGACACGGAAAACACTTCCCGTGTTGAAATCCTCATTTTTCTTCCAGATGGTCACGTATGAAGAAGTGGCGCTTTATTATCCGAAAGCGAACAGGAAGCGGCCGATTTTGTTGATCGGGCCTTCAAACGTAGGACGTCACGAATTGAGACAGAAACTCATGGAGGACACTCTACGCTTCGCTGCAGCAGTACCCCGTAAGTTCGGCACTGGGCGAATTTCCTCGAGAGCCTCTTGCGTCCGGGACTTTATGCTACGAAGGATCCTCTCTCCGCAGACACTACTCGCCCGAAGAAAGACAATGAGGCCAACGGCGTGGACTACATCTTTATATCTCGAGCTCAATTTGAAAACGATATAGCAGCGGGTCGCTTCGTGGAGCACGGCGAATACGAGAAGCAGTACTACGGCACGAGCTTGCAAGCCATCAGGACGGTCGTCAACTCCGGGAAGATCTGTGTGCTCAATCTACATCCGGAAGCTCTAAGGGTTCGAAATTCATTATTTCTATCGGGCCTATGCGTCGGTGCCTCTAGATCGTTTCCGTGTTCATAGACGATAACCTACTCATGTAGTCCGAGTTTCTGGCCTAAAGCGGAGCTTCGACTTGCAGGTACTAAAAAAATCCGACCTGAAACCTTACGTGGTGTTCGTCGCACCGCCATGCATCGAAAAGTTGAGGCAGAATCGCGCCAAAGTCGGTGCGAGCACGAAGCCCGAAGATCTCAAAGAGATCATCGACCGTGCCCGCGAAATTGAGGACAGGTACGACGATTTCTCCGCTGCGGAAGTTTCTACGCCGCGATCATTTTCTTCTCAGAGTCCTAATCGGCCTCCCCTAAGTGCTTGGATGCAAAACTGAACGGAGCATTTTCTTGCAGGTTCGGAAATTATTTTGACATGGTGCTCATTAACAGCGACCCGGAGAAGGTCTATGAGGAGCTCTTGAGAGATATCGCTGCTTTGGAGCGCGAGCCCCAATGGGTGCCCGCGTCGTGGCTCGCGAACGAATAATGTGTCGTCCGAGAACAGGCTACGAGACGACGTACCTTCCGCGAAATCGGCGTGCAGACGGTAGTCGCGGGATAGATAATTTGACGAGATAAATGTTGAGAAGATTCTAGTCGGATATACTCGAGCGACTTGATTCTCTGCGCACTCGAATCCTGGGAGATATTCAGGGAAGGGAAAGAGGAGGAAAAGACAAGGGAGTTCCGAACTATTCGATACGTGAGCTCCGGCGTATCCGATGAGCAGACATCCGCGCAGTGATTCTCCGAGGGAAGCGAGTGATTTCGAGGCTAGACGCTCCGAGAACAAGGCTCCCTAGTCATCGCGATCGAGAGTCATTATTTGAAATCAGAATAGATCTATTCTGCAGAAGTCTTTCCAATCGTTGTGCCCTCTTCCCGTGGCTCCGGAAATGTTGTCAATCTGAATCGGGATCTCGGACGGAGGGAATCATACTGAATTCACAAAATCTAAGAGCTCACCAGAGCCCGCTGATCGAGGGACGATCCGGAGAGGATCAGAGCGACTCCACACAAAGAATGCAATAACATCATTAATACGATTTCATGCATCGAGCACGGGTGCACGGGTCCCATGCAATCTTTCACTGCCCTCTATCCGTAACGAGTTTGTCTGTCGGATTCGCCGAAACCGCCAAGCCGGACGTCATCGCATTCCGAATCCAAGTGTCCCGGGACCCTTAACTCTATGCAACGACGAGAACGCAAGCGGAGGAACACAGACACAGGAGGTGATGAATTCGACGTTCGGGGTACCCGTTTCAAGACTCTCCCGAGAGCGAGCCAGCATCGGACAAAAGAGCGCTCGCCCGAGGAGAAACTAGAAAACCTAAATCATGCATTTAAATCCACCTCGTCGCGAACAAAAATGACGAGAGAGTTGTTTGTAGCTGATACGAATCACATAATTCTATAGACCACCGATTTTGTTACCTTCGTATAGTGGATAATCGAATTGGTCGACGAAGACTGAGCGCCGCGCCGTGTGGACCTACGTCGGTCGAAGTCTTAAATAGTCTCGTCAGACACATTCTAACTCGATCCTAATCCAGATTCTTGTACTGTACATAGTTTAGGTAGTCGTACGATCACCTGTAATAATAATGATGACTAATCATTGAATCTATGACGCAATAAAGTAAAAACGTTGATTATTAAGTCTGCTCCTTCTTCTTGGCCTCCATGGCGATCGCCTGTTCTATAAGGGTGTCTATGTCCTGTTCTATGTCCTGTTCGGTCTCATCGTGGAGGGTGCATCCCCAGCGCCCCAGGATCTGAAGTTAGTCCTCCCTTACTCGCCCCTCGGGATGGGAGACATGGATTCCCCCGCCTGTCCAGCCTGCCCTGTATGTAGCCAAGGCGTTGTGATGAGCCCTTAACGCTCCACCGACCTCTTCATGATCCAGTTCGTCACTCCGACTCGCCTCGCTCCGGTGAGCTTATACGGGATATTTAAGACCCCAGTAAACGAGCTACAATCTGAGACGTCGCATCTCCCATCGCGTCATAAGACTCACGACCTCGTTCACTATCGCCGAGGAAAGGGAATTGACCCGAACTCGCTATCGGACCGTTCCTAGCTGATGCGTTCAATTTTATTCAACATGAGCGACCCACTGTGAGCGTTTCCCATTCGAAGAGAGAGATTTCCAAGCAAGGTTCCGCACCCTGGAATGGAATCTCCACTTACGCTGAGGTCCGGAATATATTGCGCCCCCTGTTCTCCACGGGATCTTCGGTTTGGAAAAGCTCAGAGCTGTCCCCCGAAAATCCTTTCGGTGTCCTCAACTCGCGGAATACCCCGAGGCTGGAACTCCCTTCTTCCCGCCTGGCTCCGTTTCGTGGCAAAGACGAGCGATGATGGCTTGTATTAAGGCTATAATGGTCCGAAGCGTCGGAACAAGATTGTGGATTGTGGAGCTATCGGAGTCCAGAGATGGTATGGTTTTATTCTCACATTCAGGAGACTTCTTGCGAGTCAACAGATCGCCGCCATATCAGAACCGAGGTCTCGATGACTGTGATTCGAGCATGGTCAACAGATAATCCTAGCAATGTACATCTATAGTTTTCGTTTCATGTATATGTATATATTACGCTCACGATGTTGCTTCGAGCGGAATTCGCTCTTGCGGGTTCGACATCAAGGTGTAATTGTAGGAATCGCTATCGTCTCCAAGAATCACTCGATTCGAAAGGATTCCCGGGTTTCTTGCGCTGGGACAACTTGATTTCTTCCAGGAAAGAGCTGAAATTATGGACATTGCTTCCACCCAGAAGAACTCGAACCCCAGGGAACTGCTGCATGATCTGACAAGCCACTAATGACTCCTCGTAGGTGACGCCACCGACCATGAAAAGAATTATATCCTGGTGCCGGGCGACGACGGACGCCCCACCTCCCACGAGGGGGTACGCCGCGTCTCTCAGTCGACCTCGCGCGATGTCGCTCAAGAGCTCCTTCACCATAGGGGAATGCTGAGTGTAGATGTTCTCGACACCTTTGAGACCTTTTATCATTTTGCGGGTGAAAGCCCTGACGTTCTCGGTCGTGAATTCGGTTGCGTTGCCTGCGGCGCTGCATCTACGATATTGATCCAGTACCATCTGGACGATATCTTGTTGGTCGCGGTCCATGCCGCGATGTTCGAGCATCCGCAATAAACTCGGCAGATCAGAACGGGGCTGTTTGTCGAATGTTATAGCATAGAGACAGACCAGTCGAAGCGCATCGATGTCCCGGGCTCGGGTCGACCCGATCAGCTGACGAATCCTCTCGTAGATAAACTGATGATCTCCCTGAGAGGCCATCTCCTGCTCGACTTCGCTCACTTCCAGAAGGCTGTGGGATCCCACGAGCCTGGACAACTCTCCAACTATGGCCACGTGTTTCGCCACTGTTCCTTGAATTTTTCGGAATTGGGGATAGGTTTCCACGAATTGTTTGATGTCCTGGATCGAGTCGAGATTCGCTTTGCTGGACTCGGACTTCTGCTGATATTCTTCCACCAACAATTTTATATTAGTTCCGATCTCGCCGAAGTTCAGATACTGGTTCTTCATGTAGAAATCGTCTTGGTCGGCTGAGAGCACGACATCGTGGAGCTCCTTCGCGACTGTTTCGAGATGCGATAAGTTTACTCTATTGTTCTTGATGCCGAGAAGTTCGTGAACCATCGCTTGGTAGGTCCATTGGTTCAGCATGGGCGTTACGAGATCGCTCCGTCGGTCGACTATGACCAATAGAGGGCTCAAGTCGCTTTTGGGCTCTTCGAAGAGCTTGCTCTCACGCATCATCTCTTGGTTGACCAGATCGGCTAATCGCTTCGCTATATCCGAGCTGGCCTGGTATCGGATCACAGGACACTTTCTCAACGATAGAAAAGATCCGATCAGACCCTGAGCACAGCGTTGCAACGCCGCGGGTACCAGCACATGCCCTCCAAGCAACGATCTAGATTCAGAGAGAAAAGATGCGGTGCTAGCGCAATGAAGTCACTGTAGCACTCTTGGACCTCTTTCACAGATTCGAAGTCATCCGCGTCGGCGAGTTTCTTCACGTCGCTCCGAGGAATCGAGTTCGAGAAGTGCAGGAAGTATTCCCCGTAGCGCGGAGCTCTCAGCTCCCCGATCAGGAGCTTGATGTTCGCTTCCGTTGGTCGAATGAAAACGATGCATTTCAGGTATTTCATCACCTCTGTGAAATTTAGAACGTCTATTCAGACCTCTTATTGGCCGAACGAATACAACGGTGGGATAAATTCACACATCGGGAGCTGAAAATCCTCGGCCACTTACCGTCGGACCGCGTTTTGTCGATTCGCTCGAACAAATAAACCTCCTTGGCCAGCATATCGCTCTGAGAAAACGCCACGCTCACGAACGATATCGTATCTCTATCCATGAGCAGGACTTTCATCCCACTCCCAGCCTGGTCGATCATGCCGTTGAGGTACAGTCGTACAGCCGATAGGACATTCATTTTGTCTTCAGTTTCCGGGGCCCAGTCCTCACGGGTCGAGTTCACGAAGCCTGTGAAGTGAGGAATCCAAACTCAATGGGACTTTTCAACATGTGCCTTGCAAGTAGACAGTGTCTTTGATTGGAATACTTCTGAGGATTGTCGTCGTTGCACGATGTTACAGCAACCGATTCTCTCCGGCTCACCTGAGTGGCTTCTGTCCGTCTCCTCGAAGCTTCAAGAGGCTCTCGGACTTCAGCTGCCTCCCACTGAACACCTCCGTTGACACAGGTCAGATTACCATGGCCAACGCAAGATGATCCCGGTTTTCGAGAACGAAACAGATGCCAGGATAGGAGGTGTTCCAAATCGGCGGGCCGATGACAAGCTTAAACGACAGAAAGCTGAGCCGCTCCGGAGCAGGGCTCATGGCTCATCTCCCTCGGGGATGACGTTCCGCCGCGCTGATGAGTCACCCTTCAGAGTCTGTCGTCTTGATATCGCGTTCCATCTCGAAAGTTCATTCCTCATCGAGACGGACGAAATCCTGAGGTCGGACGTGATTGGATGCATTAGGTCAGCGAGTCTCGGGATCGGGATGGTCGAGTTTCCCGCTGGACGGAACAGACGGGAAACATGCCGGGACCTCGGAATCATCGCCTAATCATCGCTCGAGGGGAATCTACGCTCCGACCGGCCCTCCGAATGGAAGAAAAAAGCCTCACCCCATTTTTCGATGCAATGTCTATGGCAAAACATGATCCGTCGACGAAGGCATTGGATGCAGTTCTTTTTATTCATTGTTCTCGGTGGGAAACTCTGTCGATTGAATGAGCAATTCTTCTGAATTCCCTTGAGCTGAACGGCTTCAATCTTTCTTAAATCCCCAAGTGTCCGCGATTGGACCGAGCACTGGCCACGTGATCCGTTCGGGAGACGCGAGGAATTTCTTCATCGCTGGCAGATTCTCAATCCTCTCCACGTAAGCGACCAGGTTCGGGTATTTTGCCAAGGAGTCTGCGAATGGAGAGAAGGAAAATCTTGTGAGCGCACAGTGGATAACGCCTCGCGCAGATGAATTCGAGTGGGCAGCCTGCGCTACCCCTGGAAGCCTTCAGATCTGCGAGTCATGAACGCGCTCGACTACAATGGCCTGAGCAGAGAAACATCGCTCACCAGGGTTGATCATTTTCTGCACGTCTAGGGTCTCGTAGAGGATGAGATCGACGTAGCAAATATTATCACCCATGAGGAAGAATTTGTCCTTGAGCCAAGCGGCAACGCTCTCCAGCTGTCTAGGAATTGACGCGGGATAACCCTCCGGGAACCTGAAGTCGATGATTTTGCTCCCGATGCCGTAGTGCACGTAGAACCACCTACAGAATAATGTTGAAGATTACAGAGAAGCGAATCAATCGACGACTTCCAGCGTGACTCGAAGTCCAGACCGTTTCGGGATCCTACCGAAGATCGTCGACTTGATTCTCGATCATGTCGAGCTTGGCATGTTCCTCAGGCGAAGCGTCTGCGGCGATACCGAGGAGTCCAGCCTTCCTGGCGATGTACTTCAGGATCGCTGTTGATTGAGTCAAGCGGAAGTCTCCATCGATGAGATAGGGTAGGTTCGGGAACTCGAAGCCGAGCGTGTTCTTCACCTCGAACCACCGGTTCCTGAACTCCGGGCTCGAAGCACCACCTGGGAGACTCATATTCTCAGATTAGGTTGACGCAGAACTTCTTCTCGCGGTTGAGCTTTCAACTTCTGGTTCTTCTGACCGGAACAGAAGGCGTACGAACTCACCGTCGAATTCATATGCAACGAGCTCGTACTCGAGTCCGGACACCTCGAGGAGATACTGGATCGGAGCGAATAAACCTCTCAGCTTCCAATATCCAAGGATCAGTTTTGGCATTGTTGCTCGAGCGATTACGACCGGACGTCAAAATTACGAGCAGCTTCGAGAGGCTCTGCCAGTCGCACCGCCACGACACGATGAAAACGAGGGTGAGAGAACGCATTTCTGGGGAGAGAGCGATCCGACGGTCAATTTGTGTAGCTGTCAGCTCAATCTCAGCGCTGTTTTCTCTTTGGCAAGTGACTCCGATAACTATGTACGTATTTTCCGGGGCAAAAAAATCCTGGTACACTCCTTGGGAAAGTCTCTCGCGAATGATGATCGGAGTCGAAACCTGGAGCAATATCCCCTCATATCGGGTCAGCCCGCGAACTGCGAGCGCCGAACGTATGAGTCTCCCGCATTGATTTTTCGTTGTCTCTCGCTGTTTTCGAGGACGCCATCCGAGTCATGTGCCGGCTCGTCCTAGCATAGATCCATGGAATCCCACAGGCTCCTCTGAGCATCTAGAGCTCCCTTGGCAAGGCTCGTCATGACCTTGGCCGGAGGCTAATCGAGTTTTCCTCTTTTTGCTCATGATTCACTCAGTCATGAAAATATGTGAGAGGGAAGAGCGGTGAGGGCACGTTGGGCCGGGTCGTGGCGTGGAAAACCACGGGC